AAAAAAAAAAAAAAACCGCCCACCTCCCCCCGGGACCCACCTTCCCGGGCCCCACCCCGTTTCTTTTCAGGCCCCCCACCAAAACCTTCCGGAGCCCCCCCCCCCGGGCCCCCCCAAGCCCCGCCCCCGACCGAGCGCAGGTGGCCGCTCACCCGAGACTCCTTCATTTACTTCCGGTCGCTAAGGGCCAAGCTCGTTTTCATGTACGACGGCTTTGTGACCGAAACGGAGGCCCCGGCCCTCCCGGGGATGTACGTCGGCTACATCGCCGTCATGGTCGGGAACCCGACGATCGTCGAGATCATCAAGGGGTCCCCCCTCCTATATGTTGCCAAATTCCCCCCCCCCGCCCCCCCCCCCCCCTCTTCCTTCCACACACACACTCGCCGCCGCCGCCGCCACACCGCCACACCGCCCGCTCCCGCTCCCCCGCTCCCCCTCCCCCCGGCCCACCGCCTCCTGCTCCACCCCCCCCCCCCCTCCCCTCCCCGCCCCCGCAAAGCGGCCGGAGCTCGAGAAGGAGCGGATGAGGAGCCTCAAGGAGCGCGCGATGGCGAAGGTCTCCTCCTCGACCAATCTGCTTATCGTCAAGAACGACGTCGTGCTGCTCGACACGCGCTTCAACCGCAACGCCTCCTCGTCGCAGCTGACCACGCCGACCCAAGACGCGACGATGGACGAGGAGGCTGCGACGGCGCGCATGTTTACCGGCAAGGGGAGCACCGAGGAGGAGGAGAAGGAGGACTCGGAGGCGGAGGAGGAGGAGGAGGGGACCGGCGTCCTCGACATCATCGCCCTGCCGCTGGCGCTCGCCATGAAGTTCACCATCCCCGACTGCCGCGAGGAGAGGTTCAAGTCGTGGTACTTCGTCACCTTCACCATGTCGATCGTGTGGATCGGCCTCCTCTCCTTCGTCATGGCCGACACCGCCTAGATGGCATATACACCGGCGGAACACAGCCAAACACACCGGGGGGGCACGTGTAGCTGCTCGAGTGTGGGGCGCCGGAGTAGAACCAAGGCGCGGGGTGATTGTCGCTGCACTCGTGCACTGCCCGGTGCGCTCATGCGATGCACGCGATGCCGTAGCCCCGCCCCGACTCTGGTGTGCTCCCGCCGTAGGTCGACACCGCCACGCGCGCCTCGTGCATCCTCGAGATCCCCGAGCTGATTGTCGGCCTGCTCGTCCTCTCCGTCGGCACCTCGGTGCCAGCATCCTAGAGATGCGGAGCAACCGATCCACATCTCCCCGTATCTCCCCGTATCTCCCCGTATCTCCCCGTATCTCCCCGTATCTCCCCGTATCTCGAGGCCCCAGACGCGGAGCACGGGGACCCGTGCGTGTTCCCGCGAGCACCCCAGAGCAGTAGATGCGCATTCGTTGCGTTCGTATAGCCCGTGCCCATCTCGATGCCGTAATCACTCACTGTGACCTTGGTGCGAGCCCGTCGACCTTGGTGTGTTCATGAGCGTAGGTGCCGGATGCGCTCTCGTCGATCATCGTCGCCAAGGAGGGGAAGGGCGACATGGCCGTCTGCAACGCGCTCGGCTCCAACATCTTCAACATCCTCCTCGGCCTCGGCCTGCCGTGGTGGGTCAAGATCGCGCAGACCGGAGAGCCGTACCCGGTACGCGGCGGCACACACGCACCGAAGCCCAACACAGCGTGTCGCATGCACCCCCCCTTAGGAGACAGTATGCCCCCCCCCCCCCCCCC